TCTTCCATGCGCATCTTCACTCATCAATTCTACTTCAACTTGGTTGGTGATGGAAATTCCAGATTATGGGACAACTTCAAGAATTACACCAATCGTTCCATCATCCTGCCAATCAAAGGTGTACTTCAGACGTACCATACTCCTCTAAACGTTCCGTTATTTTATCAGACATAAACTAAAGGCAAGACACCACTCTTACGATATCTTCCTATAGGTGTCATTCACTATCATAAACCTTTCATTTCCTCCATTTACTCAATTCTCTACGAGTCTTCACCATAACGTTTTGTATACCTAAGCAGACGTTTGGTGCACCGGGCGAGAATTTAAGATAAGAAAGCTTTATTTACGATAGACGTATAAATCTCCTTATCACTCCGAAACGTTTACATGCTAGTTCTAATACCGTAGTCGTACGCTTAGAATCCTAAACCCATAAGGTTTCCAGATCCGGTCGGCAACAGACCATAGATCCGAACAAATAACATCATATATGGCAAACATATAGCATTTAGCACATAAAAGCATTTTAGGCATCTTTCCTAAAATATACTACTGCTTGTGTCTAAAATATGGTAGACACTCATCTCACAATCATCGCTTAGCATTATAAGTTTAAGTCTAGAAATCCTACAAATTCCTAGTTCGCTTAAACTAATGCTCTGATACCAACTGTGACATCCCTAATTTCACGGCCAGAAAAGACCGATTTGTTTATGCTTTGTTTTATAAATCAGAGTAATCGTTTAAAGAAAACGGTTGCGGAATTTGTTCCCAAAACAAGATATGATAATAACTTATCAAAACATTTCTCAAAGAGAATGTATTTTTATTTAATAATAAAACCTCGGGATGTCATGTTCCGATACAGACACATAAGCATAAACATATCATACATTCATTTGCACTAGTGATTTACATCTCTTATAATCTCTCAGTGAAATGGATCTTCGCATCGATACCTGTGATACAAAGAAAACTGAGTGGATCAGGCTTGGGAGCCTGGTGAGCATATAGGGTTTTCAACACACAATAATATATTTATTATATTTAATCATCAAACAATCAACCCAATTACCCATCCCCATTATCTCCACTTATCTTAAGGATCTACCCTAAGAATCATTTATCCTTCATTATTAAGGATTGACCTGAGGTATAGGCATGAAGTCACATCGTCGCCAGGGTTTACTCAATAGGCGCTAACTCCATAGTCACCAAGGTTTATACAATAGGCGCTAACTCCATAGTCACCAAGGCTTATACAATAGGCGCTAACTCCATAGCCACCAAGGCTTATACAATAGGCGCTAACTCCATAGCCACCAAGGCTTATACAATAGGCGCTAACTCCATAGCCACCAAGGCTTATACAATAGGCGCTAACTCCATAGTCACCAAGGTTTATACAATAGGCGCTAACTCCATAGTCACCAACTATCCCATCTACCCATGTTCTACCCAACATTTTCATAGATATAAATACTTACACAGTTTAAATCATTTAACACTTGTATAAAACATCAATTCCACGCCCATCTCAAATAGACAAACAATATATAACACATATCACGTATTTCATGGCAAACACTTCATATATATGTGTTAGAAGAAAGTAACTACACACTCACACAAAACATATACTTAATACATTCAAACAATACTTGTATTAAAATCGTGTTTGTGAAAGGGACTATACACTCACTTGCTTAGACCATGCTCGGACAACACTACGGCTCTAAGAGTAGTATTCTTCGGTGAAACTAGAATATCTTCAAACACCGGGCTTCTCGCGGGCAGAGCTTCGGCTCGGAAACTCTTTTCTTCTCGGGATCTTCAGGCTTCGGGACTTGGTTCGTGTCTCGAGATGATACTGGGGCTTCGGGGGGTTAAAATAGGGCTTAGAGAGGGTATCGGGAGTAGGAGAGAAGAGATTGAGCAACCAAACTCGGCTGCCCCTTGAATTCTATTTATAGGGCAAATTTCTCATTTTCCACGTCGTGAACAGTACTTTCACGTCATGGGCTTGATCGTCACTACATGCGTCATCGCAAGTTGGGTCTGGCAGACTCCAGGAGGCGTCAGAAGACATGCCACGTCGTGACCACTGATTTCACGTCGTGGTCTCTGACAGTTTTGGGGTTTCGCGCCCCGAACTTCAGAAATCCATAACTTTCGCATACGAACTCCGTTTTCGACGTTCTTTATATCGACGCGTAGGTAAAAACAAGATCTACAACTTTCATTTAGACTTTGTCGGCTAATTTGACTTTATTTTTATTATATTATTTTTATATTATTTTTAGTAGGCCGGGACAGGAAAACTCCGTTATAAACTCATAACTCCTTCGTCCGATGTCCGTTTTCGTCTGTCTTTCCGTCGTTGCACTACTATCGATGAGATCTTCGATTCTCATTTAGAAATTTTTGGCTAAATATCGTTCGATCCCATATTCGAACTTCGGGCTGGATACTGCTAATGCTGAAACTTCGAAAAATCATAACTTCCTCATACGAAGTCATATTTAGACGTTCTTTTTATGCACGCTCTCGGTTTAACGTATTCTACGACTTTCATTTAGATCGCTAAGGCCAAATATCGTTCTAACGTAATTTCACTATTTACGTCGCGCTGTGTCGTGCCGGTTCTGTCGCGAAACTTCGACATGTCATAACTACTTCGTTATAACTCGGATTTCGGCGTTCTTTATATGTACGAAATCCTTGTAACATATACTAAAACTTAGTTAAGATTAATCCTCCTAAATAATCTTCCATCAAAAAGTCATTTTTGATGCTTATCGTCTCTAAATTGACTAGCCCGGATCTACGGGCGTTACAGCAAATAAGGAAGTACTGCGGGGAATGGGTAAGAACTTTGAACTCAGAGATGACAGAATACAATATTTCAGGTAGACTTGCTAGGACATGTACTGGTGGCCAAACATGAAAGAAGAGATTGCCACTTACCTAGGTAAGTTCCTAACCTGTGCTAAGGTCAAGTAGAATACCAGATGCCCTATGGATTACCATGGATTTCACGACAAAGTTTCCCAAGACTACGGGTGGACACAATACCATTTGGATGATCGTAGACAAACTAACAAAATCCGCACACTTTCTACCAAACAAAACGACGGATAAGATGGAAAAGCTGACAATAACGTATCTCAAGGAGATTGTGAGGCTGCACCGTGTGCCACTGTCCATTATCTCGGATAGGGATAGTCGAGTCGCCTTGCGTTGTTTATAGTCGTTATAGAAGTATTTGGGAACCCAACTCGACATGAGTACAACTTACCCTCCCTAAACAGACGGTCAGAGTGAGCGAAACATTCAAACATTGGGAGATATGATTCATGCCTGTGTGATGGACTTTGGCAAAGCATGGGATGCTTACCTACCACTAATTGAGTTCTCTTATAACAATAACTACCATGCCGGCATCAAAGCCACTCCGTTTGAGGCACTATACGGACGTAAGTGCAGATCACCATTATGTTGAGCTGAAGTTGGGGACTCCGAACTGGCTAAGGGGTCTAACGACCAAAAGCACCCTGACCAGACCTGAGATCATACATGAAATAACAGAGAATATCGTTTAGATCCGTGAGCGACTAAAGGCATCTCGGGATCGACAAAAGAGTCATGCGGATAAACGATGCAAACCCTTGGAATTCCGGGTTGGTGATCGCGTGTTGTCAATGGTCTCACCCTGGAAGGGGATGATACGTTTCGGAAAAACATGGGAAACTAAAACCAATGTACATAGGGCCATTCGAGATCCTTGCCAGGATCGGCCTGATAGCTTATAAACTTCAACTACCACAGGAACACAGCAACGTGCATCGCACTTTTCATGAGTCCAACTTAAAAAAGTGCTTACCTGATGAGACCCTCGTCATTCCACTTGACGAGATCGAAGTAATCGAGAGCCTCAACTCAGTCGAGGAACCAGTGGAAATCATGGATAGGGAAGTCAAAATCGGCTGCCCTTCGATTTCAATTTATAGGGCTGAAATACTGAATTCACGTCGTGAATCTCAAAATTCACGTCGTGAGTTCAGTAGTCATCAGGTGCGTCATCGCAACTTGCGTATGTCGGGCTCCAGAAGTCATAAATACTGAGTTCACATCGTGAACACTGTATTCACGTCGTGAACTCTGACATAGTGTCGGGGTTCGCGCCCTGAACTTCAGAAATTCATATCTTTCGCATACGAGCTCCGTTTTCGACGTTCTTTATATCCACGTGTAGGTGAGATTATGCTCTACAACTCTCGTTTAGACTCGGACGACTAATTTTGAATTTAACTTTTATTATATTATTTTTAGTAGGCCGTGACAGGAAAACTCCGTTAGGAATTCATAACTCTTTCATCTGACGTCCGTTTTCGTCTGTCTTTTTACCGTTGGACTACTATCGACGAGATCTTCGATTCTCATTTAGATTGTTTTGGCTAGAAACCACTCGATCTCATATTCGAACATTGGGCTGCATACCGCTAAGTCGAAACTTAGAAAAATCATAACTTCCTCATACGAAGTCAGATTTAGACGTTCTTTTTATGCACACTCTCGGTTTAACGTATTCTACGACTTTCGTTTAGATCACTAAGGCTAAATATCGCTCTATCGTAAATTCACTATTTACGTCACACCATTTCGTACCGGTTCTGTCACGACACTTCGACAGATCATAACTTCTTCGTTATAACTCGGATTTTGGCATTCTTTATATATCTGGAACCCTTGTCACGACCACTACAACTTAGTTAAGATTATTCATTCTAAATAATATTCTATCAAAAAGTCACTTTTGATGCTTATCGTCTCTAAATTGACTAGCCCGGATCTACGGACGTTACAACATCCCATCATGGCCGGAGAAACCAGCCAGATACCGATAACCTAGGGTTTGATTTTCAGTGATTTTGCTGGTTTCTAACTGTTTATGTTTCAGGGAGGAGATAGGGAGATACACGTCTGAAGTGCGGAAAATGGGTTTCAAGATTTTGAATATGATCAGAGAAGGATTAGGGCTTCCAGAAGGATATTTTGATAAAGTCAGCCAGGAACAGTATATGGCGATTCACCTATACCCGCAATGTCCGGATCCAAGTTTAGCAATGGGTCATGCGGACCCAAACATCATAACCTTCCTTCAACAAGACCAATATGGGCTACAAATACAAAAAGATGGGAAATGGATGGGAGTTGACCCAATTCCGAATGCTTTCGTGGTCAACCTTGGTTACACCCTGGAGGTAGTACTTATTAAGCTCATGTTTCAGTAACAAATGTAGTTAAAAATAAGATATATATGATACAAATGTTTTTTTTCAATGTAGATTATAAGTAATGAGAAGCTGAAAAGTGTGGAACATCGAGTGGTCACCAATTCAAGTGCGGCTCGAACGTCAATTGCCACATTTTTTTCTCCAAGTCCTACTCTTCCTGTTGAGAATGAGGTTCCTGTTATCATACAACCTGCTAAAGAGGTAGTTACATGGAGCAACCCACCGGTATTTACATCATTTCAATACAAGGATTTTGTAGCTCGTTACTTGGCCTTCATGTGCAAACCGCGTCCTCACGTCGGAATACCCTTGGATCCTTACCGACTCTAAACCGGATTTCAATTCTTGTTCAAAAGCCATGTATATATAGTTGTATAATAAATGATAACATGTTCAAGTAATGCATGAAACTGAAGATTGCTGGTGGGATCTAAAATAAATTCATGTATTCTTTTTTACTTTTCATGCATCTTAAATTTGTGCATATATATTGATTGAAAAGCTAACACAGTTTCATCTCAGATTATTTATATGTTTCCGTTGATGAATAACATTGTACTCTAAAAGTACAATGTTGTAATTGGGAGGCTTATAAATGACAACAAATCAAAAACAACTTAAATGATTTCCTGAGGTTGAACTTCATATTATGAATCCGTAAAGAGAACCAAGTGTGTTGCTTTTATTAGTGAGGAAATGAAATTACATCGCTATATACAAATCTGATGACAGATGTTTATAGAAAATGTGCTCATCTTGTACCAATTTTGAGCATAATAAAATAATTTTCACATCCCCTGATTCCTCCATTCCTCCATCACCTGTATATGTTCACAAAAAGAGACATACATAAGACAACTTTAGAAGAAACTATGTAATATTTGATCATAAAAGAACTGCTTCTGATCTGGAAATTTAATACAAACAATACGAGTGGTAAATTTTTGTTTTAAAAAGCAAAAAAATCAAGGAATCTTAGCCATCAAAAAAGGGTTAATCGGTAAATTGATGCAATAATCTATGAAACGAAGACACACACAACACAACATACACACACGCACAACAACAAAAGCACATATACACACTGTATACAACATTTGTATAACTTTGTCTTTTGACCGTTAATGACTATAGGCTTTTTCAAATATATATAAATAACAAATTTCATAATTTTCTTTGTAATTGAAATGAATAATTAATGAATGATTGCGCTTTTAACTATAATTTAGCTTTTAGCTTTTCTACTTATTCATAAAAAATTGTTATCAATTAAATGAGTTTCAACTCACTATAATGTTTTTGGTGAACATTAAATTCTTATAGCAATCCTTTTTATATACATAGAATTGGCTAATACAAAAATAGGAAAAATAAAAGCAAAATTAGCAATCTATATTTATTTATTATTGAATTGAGATTCGTTTTTTCCTATAAAATTAAGTAATGCCAAAAATAATTATTTGGATTTCATTTGTTTATTTATTATAGCACCAGTTATAGAAATGGGTTATGCAAAATGACCATTGCTCGTCTAGAAAATATATTTTTGAAACTACAATGGTATCTGCATAAAATCAGGTGAAATGTGTGACAACCGTCAATTTTGGTCAAACAAAGTCAATAAAAGTCAACCAGGTCAACTCGAATCGTATTAAAGTTTTAGGAGGAATGTGATATTCTCTAAATGTTTCTAATGTGCTATTGACAAATTATAATACAAAGTACCTCTCTGGTTGCCAATTATTGAAAATAAGTTAGTAACGTAACAACTCGATAATTCAATTATATATTATTTGGGTATTTATATAATATTCATAACACACTGTAGTGGAGTTCATAAACCTAATACTACATGGCAAATTCATAACAACGGCTACATATACAAAAATTTTGGTGAATTCATCACCAAATGCGACAAAGTCTATACCCGGCGAAACACTCAATTATTTTTAACGAAACGAACTTGGAAATTCAACCTAACTTTCATGTAACGTATTATTGTTTTGATAATCATGCTTGTTATAATAATTAGAATTTTTATAATTCAAATTAAATATTTTATACCTCCCTTATACCATATTTATTTTATAAAAACACATCATTTTATAAAAATACCAAAATTTACAAAGGTTTGACTTTTTTTTATAAAAAGTCACCAGTTAATAATCTTGTCCTTCCACCTTAATTACCCGACTACTTAACCCTAGAGTAGCTTACCTTTAGTCTCATCCATGTTCCCCCTACCACCCCCCATAAACCCACCCTACCCACCCCCACCCCTCTTCCCTCTCTTCCTTTTACTCTCGGCCGAAGAGGCTTTCTTTCACCACCATATTCTTCATTTTTCACTTCTTCTCCAAGAAAAGCTCTCAACTTCCTAACCTAATTTCTTCCAAGTTGGTTCTTGAACTTTTTGTAAGTATTTCCTTCATCTTCTAGTGATTCTACACACATACATACTAGTTTCAATCCATTTACACACGTTATCATGTGTTACTATTAATGGAATCTTCAAATCTTCAAAGTGTTCTTGACTTGAAACTTTCCATCTACAACCTTCGTTCATCAAGAAAACACGCATAAGGTGAGTTCATACCCCTTCATTTTCGAGTTTTTTCAAGTTTTAGGGGGGGGGGGGGAGGACTACAAGTAAACTTGTATAATAACACAAGTTGTTATACATGCTTCTTCTTTAAGTTGTGTAAAAGTATTATATGCATGACAAGATGTTATTACTTAGTTATTTGAACATTTATATGTGGTGTGTTTGTTTAGAAATGCAAATACACACTAAAAAAAATCCTATTTGGATGATTTAAAGGCTTTGCAAATTAAAAATACAAGTTATGTCACTTAAACATATTTAAGCTTAAATATCAGCTTTTTACAGAAAAGTTGTGGTATGTTCACAGACTGTTTTACCCTTCTTAAACTTAATAGATTTCAAAATTGTATAATATGCAAATAGTTCAGGTCTATACCTTTTTAAGGATTACTCGCACGCATTCATACGATTTTTCTACAATTTATGGTGATCTTTACAAAACTGCCTATCATTTCAGAATATTTTCGGACAAGTCTGTAAAAATAAATATTTTCACTCTGGTTAGGAACAACTTAAGTTCAGGGTAATAATTATGGACAAAGTAGACTCATTTTCTAAGCTCTGAGAGTTTACAGATCCAAATTTCGACTTACGATGATTTTCAATAATTTTTCTAAAAACATGGACAGAATTGTACCATTTTTTTGAGATTTGACCTAAAATATGTTATTTTAAACATATAAGGTTAATTTGACTTAATATCCACAAAAAGGTAAAAATAAATTTTACAAGGTTTACAACTACATTTTTACCCGTTAGTGACGTTAAAAAGGCCAAAGACTAGAAAATTGGCTTTATTATACTAAATGGTTTTATACTTGTGTTAGATGTGAAATTATATGATATAATCTTTTAAAAAATCTAAACATACTAACTTATATATATATATATATTATATATATATATATATATATATAATATATATATATATATATATATATTTATGAATATATATGGACACAACAAAACATTTATGATAAACTATAAGGGGTGTAGTCTATGGGTCATTAACATTATTTTAGCATTTTGGGGCGAACAAATAATTATTTAAATGTATATTTTACACTATGTAATCACTATGGAAATGTAATAGTTCCACTTACAAAAGGGTTTTCATTACACTATACGTAAACCTGTTAATACAGTTTTGTGAGACATAGTCTTCACCGTACCTACCAGAGTACCTACAAAAGTCATTTATTATAACCAGAATCTCATGTAAGAGAGCGTGATACTTGTGGACTGACAATCCCGCACCTAAGTTGTTAGCTACAGCTAGATCGGCAGGTCTGGGGTGAAAATTGTCATAACATTCTGACGCCTGAAGAACGTCGCAGCAGACCAACTACAGTTTTAGCGTGGTTGTAATAACTCACATGGGGTATTAACAATACATTATGTTTACGGGGCTAACATACATTCATATGGTTTTATATAAGAATAAAACTACATAATACTACTTTCGAGTACATAAATACTTATACATTTCGGTCTTCGGGTTTCTCAGACTACAACTCATTTTCAAGATCAATGATACATTTAGCACGGGGAAACAAAGATTCAAATGGTTTTATGTATATTAAAACTACATATTACTAGTTTAAGTATAGAAATACTTATACATTTCGGTCTTAGGGTTTCTAAGACTACAACTCATTTTCAAGATCAACGATACATTTAGCATGGGGAAACAAACATTCAAATGGTTTTATATAGATTAAAACTACATATTACTATTTTAAGTATAGAAATACTTATACATTTCGGTCTCAACTCATTTTCAAGATCAACGATACATTTAGCATAGGGAAACAAACATTCAAATGGTTTTATATAGATTAAAATTACATATTACTATTTTAAGTATAGAAATACTTATACATTTCGGTCTTAAGGTTTCTAAGACAACAACCCATTTTTAAGGAAAATATTGGATTTTCCAAAAACAAACACTATCATTTTACAAGGGAAGGCTTACAATTCTGTCACACCCCCGAACCAGACGGCAGAAACGTCCGGTGGCTTGAGTGACTTCATTCTTGTAGTATCATCACAGTGTATATAATTGAAACAAAACATCATCATCATCACACAAGCAATATTACAACTGCCATTGTTTACATCAAGTAGTGTATTTCAAATTACATGCCAAAATATCCTGAGTATGGTGATAACAAAACACAACAAAATTCCAAGTATTCTTGCTGACCAACCTGCTCAACGATTTCCTATAATGTTGGTAAGTTCATACGTATCTTTGAGTAAAATATTTTATATTACTTTGTAAATGCCAGAAAATCCGATATTTTCTGAAAAACGGTTTGAAATGTTTGTGTCCGATCTTGTATTAATGCATGTGTGTAAATGTTTGAAAGTGTATGAAGTGAATGATCCTAGGCAATCTGATATTGTCTGTTTATAAAACGTTGTGATCTTAACACCCTAAGACTGAGTACCAGTGCGTGTATGTTACCGTGTTATCAACAGAAATTGTATTCCATAAATTTTATAATGGAGTTAATTCCTCTAAGTGAGTCATTATAATCATACTTGATAATGACTTATCCGCCTGTCGTGACGTTTTTTCAGACGCCGACTTATTTAAGTTAAGGTTTATCACCCTAGACTGGCCTAGTCTAACTGTAGCGAACAACTCAGGTGTAGGGTGTCACCCCCGTATATATCTATACACAAACTCCCGCTCTCCCTCCAGGAGACTCTGGTT